GACAGACAGACCGACGGACAGACGGACGGACAGACAGACAGACAGACAGCCAAGTGCAGAGCAACCACCAAAAAAGATGATACATTATGATTTATGAACCCACAAACAGCCATCATCCCCACCCCCTTAGCCCTGGAAAATGGGGGGGGGACGTCAACAAATGTAAGTTACATTTTTGGGGGGTGTATAATTGGGGGTGCAGAAAATGTATGTTGACCCCCCCAAGAAAATAGGTCTACCGTTAGATACATCCCCTGGGAATCATTAGTCTGCATCGGTGTGCAGAGAGTTACTTTTGAGGGGGGGGTGGTTTAATGTAACATAACACCTGGAACTTGGTAAATTATATTTTTCGACCCCCCCTTTATGTTCTTGTCAAGGAGTTGTATTTTGTCAGATGTTACCCGCCGAGACTGGGGTTTTTGATGTTGGAGGCCATTGCCTCTCAGGGAAAACATAAAAATTGTTTCATTGTATTTGGAAGGCCTCAATCATGCCAGCTAACATGTATGTTCTTGACATATGCTGAGAGTCTTGGATAACCTCAAAAATGTAGGCTTACATTTTTGACGCTCTCTTTCAAAAATGTAAGCTTACATTTTTGAGGCAATCTTTCGACAATGTAAGCTTACATATTGACCCTTCACTTATGGCCTACCCCCCAAGAAATGTAACTTACAATGTTTGAGGTCCCCGCCCTAAATTGGTAGGGATCAGCCATCTACATACACGGGTGCTACAGTACATATTGAATCCGCACAAGGCAAAGGGCTACGGCGGTATTGACATTGGGGATGTACCGCTGACACGCTGTGTGATCAGCCTCACAGTGGCTTAGCTGCAGGCAACTGATAGATTTGAACTTCGAGAGCGCACAAAGCAAGCTTCATGCAATGTCTTGCTGTCAGGTGCTGCCGGAAAACTCGAGCTGTGAGCAGCCAATCCCGAAGTTCTGCCATGAGAAGGGGGCCCTGACACCCTCTCCCAACTGCGCTAATTAATTAGAGGTGGCACAGCGGTTCTCTGTTCGATTGAAAGGTGCGTGGATTTTCCGAACACTTACTTATTATACATGATGGGTCCATGTGAAAAGACTTGCCTGGACTTTGAGGCCTGCAAGTCAGTAAAGAAGGAATACCAGACTATCCCCATGTGTCACCAGACAGGAATGTGATTGTTCTTCTCTTTTCATGCTCCCTCTGTTTATCGCCCACGAAAAATTCCAACAGAGACACGGATGGTGCCCAAGAAGTGGAGCCACCTTCTGTTTAGTGGGCCACAGTGGCCGTGGGCAGCGAGACACGGGTGACTAAGATGGGTGGTTGGAGTAATGCCTCTTTGCTACTAATAGCGTCATGTTCCTAGTGGCGATGGCCTCCAACCTACTTGCCATAGCCTCCACCCAATAGCCTCCTTGTTACTAATTAGATCTAATTAGCAGGTTGGAATGAAGATCGTCACAGGTTAATCAGCCCGTCATGTGAAGCAAAAAACCTCAGAGCAGTGTGAAACACCAGTCACCAGTCTTGCTTGCGGCTAGGTTGGCTTCAAAGTTCTACCCTTCCAGTTTGGTTTCTCGAAGGGTCGCTCAGGATAACAGCAGACCACCGGCTGCGTGTGTTCCCTTGAAGGGGAACTCCCTTGGCCATAATTTTTGATGCGCCGGATGCAGGTCAATGGTTTATACTGATTGATCCGGCGCTGCATGTGCAAGAGGAAAATGTCTCCAGCTTCTGACAGCACAGGGCGGGGATAGTTGATGTCTAGATCTAAAATGCCAATTTCGTCCACTGAGTCCAGAAACCTGCAACTTCTCATTGCTGTCAGCTTGGATGGGTTTTGAGTCATTCTGCGTCTTTTTTCGCACGACAGGTCGTGTGCGGGGCGTCCCAGTGTTCCCCAGACCGGCCGGACCCAATTTACATCAATTTGCAATCTACAAAGATAACTAGCTCTCTTGATTTTGGCCACACCCAAGTGCATCCAGGACTTTTTCTCAAAGAAACTTAGGGGCTTAGTTGTCTTGAATGACCTTCGAGGCCCTGGCAGCCTGCGAGCAGGCGTGGCACCATTCAGGATGTGTTCGACGTCATTTAACATCTTTGTCCAATTCGTTTCTCTTTGGGGATGCGCCAGCTGCAGCGCCAGCTGCATTGTGCTAGGCACGTTGCGCCGGGTGAATGCCTCCCCGCCAGCCAGAAGCTCCAGAGGCAATCGATCCTGAGTATGTAATTGAGAAGGTGACTACGGCTTTTTGTCATTGATGCCGTATGCTCTTGAGCCCCTGAGTTTGTGGGCGAGTTTTGGATCGAATGCGCACTTGCAAGGCAATAAGAGGCAAGACATGATACACGCACGTGACACGCACACACAGATATATATATATATAGTGTGTATATATATATATATAGAGTGTATATATATATATAGTGTATATATATATGCCTGGTATTGCCCGGTCGTTCCATGGCTGTGGCTCTTTCTTGGCCAGGACCAGCTCCGGCTTTGGCATGTCATACTTGAACTTGCACGTTGCAAGTTAGGTCCAGCAGCGCGCTGAAATCTCAAGACGGACTGGAAAGGCAAGCGCTGGGATCATTTTTGCCGGCATGGCTCAAAGAAAAGCCAACCGGGCATAACAGGACAACAGGTATCCACAGATACCCATCACAGATCCTAATCATAGTTCCTTTGCCAGGGCGTTTGTGGTGGTATCCTATCCTGCTCTCAGCGCGAGCTGCAGCTTGGCCATTGGAAAGTGTGCTTTTGCGGAGTGGAGCGCCCATCGGAGCACCTTCAGCGGACCTGGGAGTTGATGATCCACTGGACCGGGTCACTCGAATTGATGCTCTTGTCTGGCTATTTGGCTCTGACTTCTTCTACTCCTAACCTGGGCAGCCCGGGACGTCTCGCGACGCCCGCGCAATGACTCCTGCCACTGGCTCAGCATTGGAGGGAAAACGGATGGAAACTACCCCTTTGATCCCCTTTCAAAAGACACCGCTTTTCCAAACTCGGGCCATGTGTGAGCCCGATGACCTGTGCTCTGGAAAGCAGCCTTTTCCTCGTCTTCGCCCAAGGTGATGGCGCCCAACAAGGATCTGGACAAGGCACGCGCGGCGCGGGCGCACGGCGTGTGCTGCGGGGCAGTTTCCCCATTTACCGGGTGACTGGAGGACTTGAGCCCAGAAGCGTCACCGCGGAGTTGGTGCCTCAGTTGGGGGTGGATGGGGTGGAATGTCTGGTGCTTAAGCAGACTCAATTCCTAGTAGGGCATGCACAAAGGATGCGGAGAGAGTTCTTGGGAGATGCACACTTGCCTGGGACATCCCTGTACCAACTACTTGTACCTGCCACATCCTCCCACTAAGGTTCGGAAAAGGGGCAATTATGCTCGAGCCCCTGAGATCGGCTGGCAGAACGCACCAAACGTCTAGCCATAGCAAAGATGACAGCAAAAAGGCACAAACCAGAGCAAAAAGGATGCCAAATATAGTAATTGAGCAGTGATTCAATGTACTGAGCGCTCCCGGCAGGTGTCACAAAAGGTGTTTAGATTTGGATTTGGCTTTCCTCGACAGCTGAAGGTGTCGGATTCAGATGCCACCATTGTGTTGGAAGCTAAGGGATCCAGGAGTGCTATTTAGCCAAAGCACTGCAATCTTGTCGTGGGGCATCAGTAAGTCATCATGAATGAATTTGCTTCTGTTTCATGCGCCCTCATGAAACAAGGTTCGTGCTCGTTTGCAGCAGGTTTGTATCATTGAGGAGGGCCAGCCGGTCTACATGGGCCTTGCTCCCAGGCTTTGGACCACCTTTTGGACAGAGACTCGATCCTTGGTGCAAGACCACACCGACATCCTTGGTTCCAGACGCTGCCGAATTTCCTTGATGTTGTCACTAAGACACACACAGACACAGACATATATGAGCAACTGCCAAAACTTCCGATGAAGGCAGCATCGCTACCGGTCTCCTGGTCCGCTGGTCTCTTGCTCTCCTACTTCGCTGGTCCCCTGCTCCTTCGGTCTCTTGGTCCAGTGGGCACCTAGACCTAGCCCCTTGGTCTCCTAGTCCGCTGTTCTTATGGTCCTTCAGTCTTGGTAGCTCCCTAGTAGAAAGATAGCTTCCCAGCGGGGTGCTAGCTCGCTGGTAGGGTATTTCCCAGTAGGGGGATAGCGCTGTCTACTTGATTTGCATTGCGGGGGGAGGCCCACCGCCCCCCCCGGCACCCCCTCCCGCTTTTTTAATAGTTGCCACTACCCCTGCTACAGCCAGTGCCTCCAACACTCCAACCACCCCACTACCAGTCTTGCCACAGTTACCACAACTACTATCTTCTTTGCATTGGCGCTACTATACTTGATTTGCATTGTGGGGGGGTGCGCTGCGCACTCCCCTGCACCCCCTCCCGTGTTTTTAAATGGTTCACACTGCCGTCCACTACCCCCACCATTACCAGTGCCACTATCACTTCGACCACCCCACTATGAATCTTGCCACAGTTACCACAACATTTTCTTTGCGTTGACGCTGCCACAAAGGTGGATGATAAGGCCCACCTTCGCCTAGCGTGACAGCCAGAAACCTTTTCTTAGTAGGAAGCACTGTGCCCTACCCTTACTACTACCACCACCACCACGACTACTACTGCTACTACTACTACTACTACTGCTGCTACTGTCCTTTCCACATTCTTTTTTCTTCGCTGTGAATATTTTTGTTTTGATCATCTTTTCGATCCCTTTTGCATATTTGTTTGATGCTGATTTTTTGATCCCTCACCCATGTTGTTAGGCGTGTCCAAACTTCAGGAACGATAAGGTTCGCAGAAAAGAACGACAACACTGGGCCACTGGGAAGAGTGCGCACTACAGCACATAAGAGGTTTTGCAGGTCGCCCACACACACACACACATATATATATATATATGTAACACACAAACAGGATAATATAAAATATCATATTAGGTATTTAATTAAGAGCAAGTAGAACACATCCAAGGTGAGGTGATTTGAAGATTCTTGAAGTAGAATCACCTAAATCATCAACGGATATTCTTGGAGTCAATATTCTTAGACACACTTTGGGCCTGATTCGACCTCTTCGACTGAGGCCGAGATGCGAGTTACTGCAGTTCGGACTGCCGAAAGCGAGGTCGGTCCGTGGGGAGACCTGTCCGACCGCTGGCTCCGATCTTTGTCCGGACGTGGAATGAGGATGGATGAGGAGGGGACCCTGTGAAACTGTGGAAGACGCATCACAAGAATAGCTGGGCTGGTCTCAAGAGCTAAGGTCAGAAGAATCCAACATAGGTCTTTGTGCTCAAAGTTCTGATGCGATGTGATGCAACCTCAACTACTAGACCCGACACAGCCCAGGCTGAGTACGCACAGCTAATGGGACTGAAGCTGTTAGAAGAGTCCAAGCCTTAGACGGGGCACCTCAGATCTCCAGCTGACATGTTTTTGTGGCTTCTCGGCCTACCGAACAGAGCATGTGCATGATATATAATAGTTATATTCACATGTATATGCATATGCATATACATACATGCATACATATGTCGAAACTAGGCACCCTCGTGCCCAACACTAGGAATCCTATCCTAACCCTTCCGGCGCCCTTTTGAACGCTCTGCCTAGAGCCGTAGGTTGCCTATGGATGCGAACCTCAACTGGACATCTATACATGAGACACTGCTTTTTCACTCATCAAAAATTCTTTAAGAAGATTTTCCTCTGAATCTTCTCGGGAGCTCTTCTGTATGCAGATGTCTCAACTTCATGAGGGAATCTCTCAGCGCTTCTCACGCCGTTCCGTGCTTCCCGGAAAACTGGAATTCTCATCCGAGGTGTGCTGTGCACTTACACTCTCGGCATAGCTGATCGCTGCTAGATAGGCAGCGAAGTCACCGAACTTGCCATCTCTCTCCTTGCCATGGGATTGAATCCAAAGCAGATAGCTTTGGTACCCCTTATCCTTGACCAACTCATCGTA